TAACACATTTTCTTCATCCATTCTTCATTTGATAGACATCTAGGTTGTTTCCATTTTCTGGATATTGTGAATAATGCTGCTATGAACATAGTTAAGCAAGTGTCCTTGTGGTATGTTAGATGGTCCTCTGGGTACATGCACAGGAGTGGTATAGCTGGGTCTTGAGGTAGGTCAGTTCCCAATTTTCTGCAAAACCACCATATTGACTTCCAGAGTGCCTGTGCAAGTTTGCACTTCCACCTGCAGTGGAGCAGTGTTCCCCTTGTGCCACATCCTCTTCAGCATATACTGTCATTTGTGGTTTTGATCTTAGCCATTCTGACAGGTGTAAGATGGAATCTCAAAGTCATTTTGATTTTAATTTCCCTGATGGCTAATGGTGTTGATTATTTTTTATGTGCTTCTCAGCCATTTGAGGTTCCTCTGTTTAGAGTTCTTTATTTAGATCTACATCCCATTTTTAATTGGATTATATTTTATGAATTCTAATTGGTCGTACAATAAAAACTCAAGGCTAGATTTGGTGTAAATACTGAAAGATCAGAGGAAACAAGCCACAGCCACTTGTCACCATGTCAACTCCTCAGCTCATCCTGTCCCCATGAATCCTCAGACTGAATTCCTCTGAGTCCTCAGCCAAAATGCTCTAGGTCCTGTATCCTCAAACCTTCTATGCCTTCCTCTGCCCATACATTTTACTTCTTCCATAATGCTGGGATTAATGTCATGTACCCTTCCCAAATACTGATATCAAAGACATGAGAACTCAAGAATTGGGATTAAAGGCTTGACTCTCAAGTACTAGGATTAAAGGTATGTGCCACCACTGCCTGCTCTCTTTCTCTGCTAGATTGAATCAATTTCATGTAGTCCATGTGGCTTTGAACTCACAGAGATCTAAACAGGTCTCTGCCTCCTGAGTGCTAGGACTTAAGGTGTATGCTATCACTGCCTGGCTTCTATGTTTAATCTAGTGCCTGTTTCTGCCTTCTGAACCCCAG